GGCTTGGTGGAATTTTCCAACATGTATTGATTTTAATGTGGTTCAATTTTCTACTGACAGGTTTAGTGGTGGGAGATTAATAGGGGCTATGGAAGACTTCTCTGATTTTATTAGGGAGATGAGGGGAATCCGCCTGCTTAGTTTCTTGCTTTGATTGAGAAGCAGCATGGGAATTGATTTGGTGATTTGCCTGTTTGGTTGGGGAAATTTTATTTGGTCATATAATCGGGAGACCAACCTGTTCAATCTCATATAGACCGGTTCTTGGTTAGCGGGAAGTGGGAGGCCAAGTGCTCAGATGTCACTCAATCTGGGAATACGAGGGGTAGTAGGAAAAAGTCTTTTAGGTTTGAGAAGATGTGGTTAAAAGTCGAAGGTTTTGGGGAGCATGTACGAACTTGGTTGGCCTCTTATGATTTCGGGGGTCTCCCAATTATGTGTTGGATCAGAAGTTGAAGGCTTTGAAAGGGAATTTAAAGAGGTAGAATGAGGAGGTGGTGGGTAATGTACATTGGCGTAAAAATCAGTGTGAGTTAGATAGGCGGGTGGAGAGTCGAGGGTTAGTTGAGAAGGAGAGGGAGACACGTGGAGTGTTAAGGAGAGAGTTGGAGAGGTTGTAGAGATGGAGGAGGTTACTTAGCGTCAGAAATTTAGGGGTTATGTGGTTGAAAGAGGGGAACAAATGCACCAAGTTTTTCCATAGGGTCGCTAATTCTAATAGGCGCAACAATTCTATCACGTTGTTAGAGGTAGATGGGGTTACTTATGAGGATCCGCAAGATACTAGGGTCCAAATGGTGAGATTCTATCAAAATCTCTATTGGGAACAGATCAATTGGAGGCCAGAATTGGAGGGACTGGATTTTCCTACTATCACGGAGAAGAATGCCAGTTGATTAGAGAGACCATTTGGGGAAGATGAAATTAGGGAGGTGTTATTCAGTATTAATGATGATAAGATACCAAGACCAGACAGTTTCTCGTTCGTATTTTATAAGGCTTGTTGGGAGGTGTTGTGACTGGACATTATGGATGTTTTTACTTATTTTTTTAGTGTAGTAAGTTCATGAAAAGTTCTAATGATACATTTATTGTGCTGATTCCCAAAAAATCGGGAGTAGTTGACATTAAGGCTATTAGCTTAGTTAGTAGGGTGTACAAGATTATTGCGAAGGTTCTTGCGAATATATTAAAGGAGATGATATAGAAAGTGGTGTCTAAATTTCAGAATGATTTTGTCAAAGGGTTACAGATTTTAGATTCTGTGCTTGTAGCGAATGAATGCATTGACTCAATATTGCACCTGGGGGCTCCAAGGATGTTATGTAAGCTCGATATTTAGAAGGCTTATGATCACGTGAACTAGGGGTTCCTTTTGTATATGCTCAAGCAATGTGACTTTGGAGATAAGTGGTGTAGGTGTATTCAATTTTGTATCTCTACTGTTTTGTTCTAAATTTTTGTCAACGGTTCCCTGAAGGTTATTTTTGAAGCAGGGGAGGCTTGAGGCAAGGGGACCCCTTGTTTCCATTGTTCTTTGTTATTGTAATGGAGACATTCAGTAGGATGCTTGAGAAAGTTATGGGGAGGGTTTGATAAGGGCTTTATGGTTGGTCACTAGCAGGTTTCTCATTTGCTATTTGCAGATGATACACTGTATTTATGCGACGCAGATGATGAGCAATTCAGGAACTTACGTCGGTTGTTTCTATATTTTGAAGCGGTATCTAGATTAAATTTGGAGAAATTTGAGGCTATTCCAATGGGAGAGGTCTCTAAAGTGGATNGAGTCTGTTAGATCCTCCAAGGTCTTGCAAGGTCAAGAAAATGTAAGTTTAGTATCACCTCTCTTTGGACGTGATAGGATAAACCATCAGCTGGATTTTGAGATTCAACCTGCAGCACGTCAAAATCCTCTATCAAATGTCATGGAAAAACCTAATTTTAGTGAGTTTGTGAATAAACATGCTCCTGCCTACACAGGCTCTGTGGACACGAATTGGTTTCCAATGGTCTTGCAAGGTCAAGAAATTTGCTCATTGAGATCCCTATCTGGGAAAACTGATTTTAATCTTGGTGCATGGCCAAAACCTGAATTTGGTCGTAATGTTCACAAAGTGTATCAAACTCCAGGACCCAATTTATATCCTCTAGCTTCTGAAGGTGCTAGGAACATATTTTTTCCTTACAATGTGCCATCCTATATGTCAGATGTTCAAAGAGAAAGCCATGTGTTAAATTCTACTTCTGTCGGAAATGTGGCTACATTTGATATAGGTAAGGTGCCAAGTCTTTCAAACCCACTAGGGCCACTGGAAAAGTCATCCACATCTACTACTCCAGAGGAACATTTCCTTAATACGAGTGAGGCCATCTTGAAGGGAGAGGCGCCCACCTTTAAACTATTTGGGTCTTCCTTGACTGAGGATATTTCTACACTTAATTCACTGGGTTCAAGTAAAAGGAGCTGCACAAAAGTAAGCTTCGATGTCCATGTGGAGAATTCGTTATGTTTTTTCCCAATTCGTCAATGCTGATGTTTGCATAAATGAAGGTTCACAAGCAAGGCAACTTGGTTGGGAGAGCCATTGATCTCTCAAGACTACATGGTTATGATGACCTGCTGACTGAACTGGAGAGGTTATTTAGCATGGAAGGCCTCTTGCAGGATCCTGAAAAAGGATGGCGTATATTGTACACTGACAGCGAGAATGACATGATGGTTGTTGGTGACGATCCATGGCAGTAAGTTCCCTCACATGGTGAACCTCTTAAGGTTTTTCTTCTCGTCTCTCCACAGTTAAGGAATTGTGAAAGCCAAATTTATGAATTCTCACAATTGATTTCAACTTCTTAACAACAGCATTACTCCTTGTTGCATATTTTGACGATACGTGGATTTAACTTGTAATTTCGTTATCTATTACTACTTGAATCGCAGTGAGTTTGTTGAAGTGGTGTCTAAGATTCATATACACACACAAGAGGAAGTGGAGAAGATGACCATGGGAATGATCAGCGATGACACTCAAAGCTGTTTGGAGGAAGTGCCACCAGTAACAGATGTGTCAAAGTCATCTTCAGTTGGCTAGCCTGATTCTTCATGGACTGTGATCAGGATGTAAATCTCAGGTTGTTTAACTATCATGCTGGCAGTAATGTTATGTGCTACTTAATAAACTTGGTTGTGTTAATTTAAGTGTTTGCGATTGTAAGTTAACCATCTTTT